CTTGGGTGCTGTCGGTGCTACTCGCCTTCCAGGATGGGGACCGCGTGATCCTCGCTGTGCCTGGTTGGAGACACTACAAGATATGGCTGCCAACCGATGTCAGTGGCGTTCTTGTTGTCAGTTTCTGTCCAGATTGCCTGAGTGAATGTCTGGAGGTGTAGGCACCTCGGAATGATTGTGTTAAGCTAGCACTAGGTCCCTCCCCCATCCACGTTTATGCTTTTCTTTACAATAAGGCTTTCAAGTCAGTCATGGTGGTACGGCAGTGAAGCATTGGTGTTGAGCACTGATGTCATGCTGTCGTTGATGATGATGAGAATGTAAAAAAGATCGAACAATCCAATTAAAGACTGAATGGAGAGAACAAGGCTTCAGTTTACAAGATAAATTGTAAGCAAAATGGATACGTTCGCTTGGAAGCAATCCTCCTAACAAGCATAAAGCGTAATAGAAGCATGGAATGATTACCCCTCTGCTGATTTTCCTTGTGAATCAACGGTTATTCTTCCTGTTTGTTCTGACTACTCAGCAGTAGCACGACTCACACCTGTTTATCATAACGCAGCTTTGCTTCCCCGCCGTTCGTTCCCCGGGTTTTCGCTACCGCTTAAGGTTTGCTTACGCCTTAATTACTAATGGAAAATTTTACTACCTGTCCGTCTTCACTTGCAATTTCATATCAACTCTAACCATTTTCGAGTGTCTAGTCTGGGGACCCCCTCGGATGGTAAACAAACGCACTACCCTCTGCGCTAGCTCGACTTCTCCGGCATTCCTGTTTTTTTTTTAAATATAACCTTTGTATTGCATCTCATCCGGTAGTCTCTGTTGAGATTTTGTTTCAAACGAGCCTTACTACGCATTCCGATTTGATACGTGACACAAGATGCTGCATCGCGTCGTCAGCTAAAGACTACAGAGAGTTTCCCTTACCTCCCGAGCGTGCTGACTGTTTTCTGCACCGTTATGTATTTATACTGTATAACTTCCCATATCCAAAGCTCTACTGCCTTACTGTCCTCTTTCTGCCCCTACCGACTGTGCTATCATTGATTGTAATTGATTGACTGTAATTCATGACGTTATTAGCCCATCTGCCCATAGAACCAGTTCTCAATACAGCATCTATTGCTCTCATCCGTCTCTTCCTATTGCCCACTGAATACGAACTGCATATAGTCCGATGACTCCAAGCATCCTGTAAGATCCTCAGCTACCCGGATCCTACACCTTCTATTCCAAGCGAACTTGGCAGGATTTGTCGATGCCGCAATAGAAAAAGTAGTATGTTTTAGCCAAAGTTTATCATTTCCCCTCTGTTTCCCATAACTCACGCAGCTCGTGCATTATGGACCAGGACGCTGTTACCGATGGAGACAAGCAAGAGGCGGAATCCCCGTAAGTGATTTTCCCGATTTATTCACAGACTTTTCCGTCTCTTAATCGTTTAGTTGTTCTACGAAGATGCAAGGTCATCCAAGGTTTCCAAGTGGTAAGCAGATGAGTTTGTCCAAATGGCGCATTTCGTTTTGAATTGATGATCGATGTAGCCAAGCATTAGGAACATGACTTGCGATAAATCTTTGGATTCCCTTCCCCCGGTTTAAGGGTCCACCTTAGAAAGAATCTTAGGGTATGTGACGTTCTCCGGCAAATCTACCACGCTGGCCAGTCTTAATCATCTTACTCGAGTGCCAAAGTAATACGAGCACTGTGTTGGAGCTGGTTTGGAGACCACTTAGGAACTACCGGTATAACGGTGATACTACTGATGGGGGAGGCATGCGAGTAGTATGTTTTCTAAGTCCGCTTTGCATCTCTTGAAAAGTGAGATCTATTACGGAGTTTGTGGAGTGTCATTTGCTTGCAATTGAGTAACAGTCGATGAATATCCAGGAAACTTCAGGAAGATGCGTTCAAGGAGAAGATGGATATTCAGTTTTGTAAACAAAATGCGTATGAGAGTTTCGCTCCCCCGTTTAGTTGGCATTTTCTAATAAGCCCGCAGTGAAGGCCTTCTTACTTTCACCGGTGGGAGAATGTTGGTCGCTCATTCCGTAAGGCTACCGACCCATCGCTGTGCTCCACCATGCTCCCTAATAGCGCACGCATGACTTCAACTCTTGGTGATTGAACGTTCGCAATCAGATTGCCCAGCTCAGCGAACAAACCAACGACAAACTACCCGGAAGTCGTTCTTCAACTCTTGGTGATTGAACGTTCGCAATCAGATTGCCCAGCTCAGCGAACAAACCAACGACAAACTACCCGGGAAGTCGTTCTCAATCAAAGTTCCATCACATTCAGTGCGATTTCTGCTTTGTTTGGGACTCTTCCGTTGCAACTTATTCTTGTAGGAACCTGTTGAGGTATGTAGGTTAGGTTGACTTCCTGTGGCCCCATTTAGATCGTGCAGCAATAGAATTAGGTATACCAAAGATGTCGGCGCTAGGTAACGAATTCCACGGTCGCCACCAATGTAGGTCTGACATCTCTGATAAGCAAGATCCCCTGTTAGGAATCCCAGTCAAAAATCACTTAGTTCATCGACACCAGATCGAGAAACCAGCCGGCCTTTATTTAGCCATTCCGTAATACAAATCATAGCTGCTTGAACATCGGACCCATATCCCGATTCGGGGTCTCGAATTGGTGAAATATATGAGATGCCGCCCAGCAGTTCTTGATTTTACGCTCCGCATCTTGCTCTGTATCTTTTCTTAGTGGGCACCTGTGCAGGCTATTCACCGATCACGACAAACACATTTAATGGATTGAACTTCCATGTGGGTCGCTGGTTTTTTATACTCTACTTGTCCGACTGCTAACTTATCACGCCATGCACCGTGTACATTCGGATCGTGGTTCCTAGTGCGTACAGTCAGGCGGGTTCATCGTGTGCTTTATTCCATCCGTCCAGCCCACCGTCGAGCATCTTTACTACACTTTTCCTTATTGTGACGAAAGCCCTAATCGATTCAGTAAATTGTAACCATCAGGGTCGAACTGAGTTGGTAGCAGTGATATCGAACGCCTCTTTCCGTAGTTCTTCAGATTCCAGACCGTATTTCATATCCATTAGTTCGGTGAATAGGGTCCAGTCGTCTTGCAATCACCCCGGTTTGATATTCTTGAAAATATGTACAATTCATGTGGACATGTGACCGTCGCTGAGTTTACCGAGCCTGGCTATTGGCTTTCAAACGTCACATCATCAGGGCTCGGTTCGTCGCGGGTTGAACCATTTCCTCTCTATCTCGATATATTTTTATGTCAGCTGTCGACTTGCTCTTTTAAAAGGATTATAACATTCGGGGTGCTTGGAGAATCAAAAGTGTTTCCGACTGAAGTGTGCGTAATACCACTGTCACGATAACTGGTTGTTGTCTCATGGACTTCTGAGTCTTCACCAATCATCTGTTCTCTTTCAGTATTCCCAACTATTTTTACTCGCCAGGCAATAAGCACGTTGGTAGTCACTTTCAGCACAAACGCTTTTCGGCCTACGTAACGTTCTTATTGCGATTATGTCTGCGAATTATTGTGAGCACAACGCATTAGTGAACCATACACACACACACACACACGCTGGTGGTTATTCTCGCCCAATTCCTGCACCCCCCATGCAGTGCTATTCTCCCACCGACCATTCCTTATTTTCCGGATCACATCTATGGTGAGGCGGCGTACTTGAATCTGCTACGTCATATATTGTGTCATGGTGTTGAACGAAGTGATCGAACCGGCACAGGTACTCTGGCTGTTTTCGGACCACAGATGCGGTTCAGTCTCCGAGACGACAGCTTCCCCTTGTTGACGACAAAACAAGTACGCCTCTTCTGTCATACTTATGTGTCTCATCGCCAAATGATTTGTCTAGATTTATGTTGCTTTACTTTCTAGGATTGGACAACAGTGTTTCTGCGTCTAGGCTAGTATTTTGTGCGGACTAACAATGGCTCAACTTCTGGTTTGTTCTCAAATAGCCATGGTAGTTACAGCTGTCCAAACCGTCATTATTGTTTTTTTATGCCGGTCGCTCCCCATAAACGACTATTGCCTCTTTCCGGATCCAGGCATGAACTGTCTCCGAGTACGGGGATAAGATTACGTACCGCTGAGTGTAATAAATATCAATAATTCTTCAGCTTTAGCACCCTTTCAGTGCCTAGCTGCCACTAGAAGGAAGTACGAGGGCTGGGATACTGCCAGGTTGCTTAAGTCTAGACAAGGGAAGTCGAGAGGCAGGGGTCGGGGTCGAAGCACGGACGTTCCGGTCAATAAATTCGAGTCATCTCGCCCCGCTAGGTGTGCCCACCTACAGATACTAAGGGAGCACGCGGTTTTTACCCCCGCCGTTTGGATGAATTTCAAACTCTCCCATTTTGTTCGTGACCGTCCCCACTCGTGCAGTTTTACACAATATTGTCCCACGGGTGGTTTTTCACAACCACAAACTTCCAATCTCGCATAAGCGTATGATGACTGAATTTGTAACACACTCGGCCGCCACAAAGTTGTTTCCGTTACCGGACCTTTCTTTTTCTGAACGTAGGTGTTTTTCCGCGGGATCGTTGAGGAGCTCCTGTGGTTCATCCGTGGTTCTACGGACTCTAATGAGCTGGCGGCAAGAAAAGTTCATTTTTGGGATGCGAATGGCTCGCGAGAGTTTCTCGACAATCTTGGATTCACAGAGCGGAAAGAAGGTGAGACTCCCCAATTATACGTACTATGTGAAATAAGTGTTTTCAGTTAGACAACATACTACCCGCAAGGTTGCTGAATGCTCTTCAAGAGACAGCGACCAGTTTCGTCCTTGGGGCTTATCAAAAAGTCATAGCCTTCTAGTTTCCTTCAGCCGTATGTTTACTCCGACCCAAATTGTACACTATTGGCGAAATGAACTTATTTGAAAACATTGAGTTTTAATGAGAGCCTTAACTAAATCCAACTCAGTTAAAGAAGGACGTCATACTAGAGGAGTTTAGGTTGATTCGGTTGATTCTCCGGTTAAAAATAAATTAGTGTGCAAGTGAGTGCTTCTTGAATATTTCCGGGGATTTTTCAAAGATCAAGGTGAATTGACAAGTATACCGAGAGGCTCCGAATCCCACCTGGTTTGGTCATCGTGTCTCGATGTTTTGGTGGACATGATTGTAACCAACCAAGCGGTATGTGCAAACGTTTCAATTTGATTCACTAACGATCTGGAACAAGTTATCTGTTAACCTGGGTGGTCGCTCTGGAAAAGACTGAGGCTTCGATCACGGTCGCAGTCGGTCGACCCTCGTTGGATGGTCACATCTCGAACAAGTCTCCGAACAAAGATGAGTTGGTTGAACGTTGATTTCAACCTTCACACAAACGGCCTCCGAAGTACGCAGTAGTGAGGACCCGGGTGGATAGATGGACGACAGACTTGAGCTTTTTCAATGTACAAGTTGGTTTTGCGGAGGCCAACACAAACGGCCTCCGAAGTACGCAGTAGTGAGGACCCGGGTGGATAGATGGACGACAGACTTGAGCTTTTTCAATGTACAAGTTGGTTTTTGCGGAGCCTAACAGGGAAGGCCTTTTTTATTCCTGGCAAAGTGGAATGCAACAGCACTGACCAGAAAAGAATCTTAACTGATGAAAATGGAAATTCAGACGGCGTCGCAAGTGTGCCATTACGAATGCTACCGGTGAAGTTGTACTTCGATTCTTTAGCTACTGGGGCATTAAAAGAGAGGAGGGAGAGCTCATAGTTGAAGACCCAGCGAAAAGGGTCAAATAAGCGGATTCCAATTGCTTTGGAACTTAGAGACATCGAGTTTTTAAGGGTTGAGGAAGACAGAGCTTATTGGTTGTTCCGTGAAGCACCACCAACATATGCGACGAAGTATACCGTCTCAACACATCCTACCTTATTTACGTAACAAATCCTACTGTCCAGTACAGAGGAACCAAATCATTCTTGGCAATCCAGTCAAATCCTGCTGTTCGCTGGGGAGATATCAAACCTCCAAACGTTCAAGACCGCAAGGGGAGCGTGTTTATCAGGCTACAGTGCGGGCTGTTTTGTTGTATGGCTGAGACTTGGCCTGTTCGAGCAGCGGAACTGAGACGTCTTCAGGTGTTCGACAATCATTTTCTCAGGACCATGGCTCGTGTGGGTTGGTGTCGGTGGATCCGTAACGAAACAATTAGACAGTGGGTTTTTGGTTGTGCAACGGGTACTTCCGTTGAAGAATGTGTGCAGCACCAGAAGCTGCGTTGGTGAAACATGTGTTACCTATACAGAACCATCGTTCGCCGAAGAAAGTACTGTTTTCCATGTGCAACTCAGAGTGGAGGAAGCAGAGGGGTGACCAACCTTTGACCTGGCAGAGGAGTATGAAGGAGATTACGAAACGTTTGAGTGCTGTCGGCGCTACTCATCTCCCAGGACCGCGTGATACTCACTGCGCCCGGTTGGAGAAGTTGCAACATATGGCTACCAACCAATATCAGTGGCGTTCTTGTTGTCAGTTTCTGTCCAGATTGCCTGAGTGAATGTCTGGAGGTGTAGGCACCTCGGAATGATTGTGTTAAGCTAGCACTAAATCCCTTTCCCTTGAAAGTAAGTGACCGTTTCTCAGACCGAATCAGAGAGCTTGGGATGAACTCGAAATCCTTATGAGAACCGGATTGCCACGTATGCTAGGAGCGGTTTCATGTTAAAAAACGAAACTGACTAATCGAGGACAGCTATAAGGGAGACGTACTGGTTGCTCATCTCGCTTATGCACATGGGTGGTGTGTCTTAATATAAATCTTCAAAAGAAAGTTACGGTTGAATTACACCGTTTCAATGTCTTCCCCGGTTGTACGGCAGCGAAGTATCAGTGTTGAGCACTGATGTCATGCTGTCGATGATGATGATGAGACTGCGTGGGGTTCTTCCAGGGGTAGGTGAGGATGCTACCCCATTCAACTTGCTCGTAATAGGTTCACTGTGGAATTAATAATAAGATGGTCGTTCAGCTGCAACACGCTTTCGTTGCCTAGCTGCCATGCCACCAGAAGGAAGCACGAGGACTGGGATACTGTCAGGTTCCCCAAACCTAGACAGGGGAAGTCGAGATGCAGTGGTCGGGTTCGAACTACAGACCGTTTGGTCAATAAATTCCTGCTCTAACCACCGAGCCATCTCGCCCCCAGTATGGAATCTCCAGGCCGTAAGTTGTTCACGACTACCAGATACAGTGGGAATTAAAAGGATGACAGTGTTCTGCACTGCCTAGTGGATCCCCACCCGTTTTGACTGGTTGAGTGTCGTTTAGCGCTCCGAAATGATAGATTCTCAAGCACAGTTTCATTGCAAATAAGTACCACCAATTAACTCCGACAATGATTCAAGGAATGCTTTGTCTCTTAGCAATCAGGCGCAATAGCTATCACGATAGTTTGGTGTACGTTGCTCTTGACCTTCAGAAATAAATGGGCTTATCCTGAGGCAAGGAATTGCCTCGATCCATCGGCTACCGCTTGGTTGCAACACGTTTGTGTGGTGCGGCAGATTTACGGTCGTTAATTAGAGTGACAGTTTTCATCTTCTGTCAGCGAGAACCCAAGTTAATCCCAAGTTAACCACGGACCATTGGGTTTAGTCATCATCTGATGTAAGTATTCTCAGATAGACCTTGTCGATAGGTTTTCTGTCGCTTAGCATGGTTATCGTCAATGGCTTGCCTATGAATTTGCTGCGTTGATACTGTCGTTTTCAGGCGATTTGGGTCCCGTTTACGGTTTCCAGTGGCGCCATAGTGGAGCAGATTACATTGACTGTGACACGGACTACTCTGGTCAAGGTGTGGACCAACTTGCCGAAGTAATCCGATTGATACGCGAGAGACCCTGGGATCGACGCATCTTGATAGTTGCTTGGAATGTCCGGGGTACGTTGACTTTTTTTCACGTTCAAATTCTACGTTATCGTTCGATAGATTTGAAACTGATGGCACTCCCTCCGTGCCATTGCCTGGTGCAATTCTTTGTTGCAAACGGTGAATTGTCTTGTCAATTGTACCAGCGTTCGGGTGACATGGTAAGTAAGCCAATTATGCTCCCCCTAGCCTTTTGTCCACTTCCCCAATTCCAGATGTTCTTATTCCAACTGGTTCTCTTTTAGGGATTGGGTATCCCGTTCAACATCGCGAGTTACTCCCTCCTGACCTACATGATTGCTCATCTAACTGGACTTAAACCGGGCGAATTCGTTCACACCATCGGAGATTCCCACGTCTACTTGAACCATCGAGAGGCGCTGAGTGAACAGGTGAGTAAATTGACTACAGCATCAGTTGATCCGCTCTGTCTCGTTGTGTTTGGCTTCCCGTGTGGCAATTCACGCGTGAATTGTTTCCCCGCTGTTCACTTGTTTAGTATGATTGGAAGACGAAACCGTTTACCATAGTTACTTCAACTGTTACGCGGTCTAATAGGACTCTGGGTAGCTGCAAATGACAGTTGGGCACCAGAATGTGGCATTAATGAGCATCCTTTCGGGGCAGTCACTGGTATTCGGATGGTGCTAACGATTGTATAAATCAGTTTAGGATGAGGGAAAGAATGATGTGATATCATGGATGCAGCTACGAATCACTGACATTTGTTAACCTTGTTTATAACTTAGATGCAAACGCTTTGGGGCTCCTGGGGAACCGAGTTCACAGCACTGGCTGTTGGATTCCTTGGAACAATGACGGAAGCGTAGCGGCATGGATTGCGTGTGTGTGGAATCATTCGTGTCCAACTTCGCCTATCTGGTAAAATTTGTCAGGTAGTTCGACTACATTGGAACGGTTAAGTGTCAGTCCAAACTTCTTCACGACCCTCATGGAGGTCCTGACAAGCGTCACTCCCATAAGACGCCAATTCTGAAGGCAGGATGTGTTTAGTCGAGTCAAACAACCAGGTCCTCATTTTGTTCCGATTGGGGACAATCCAGGAAATTCAGCAAGGTCGCATGAGTGTCTTGTTGATTCCAAGTTGTCACCATTCACTTCAGTGACACGCGACCACTTCATACGCATTTGGATAATGGGAATTGATTTTTTGGAGCTTTGATTCGTATTCGTCATGTTCACCAGCGTGGTTTGTGGCTACCTCGCACTGTGGTGAACTGTGAATGCGTTTACCTGAAAGGCACGCACCCAGGCTCTCTTCATGCTCCTCTGAATTAGCTAGTGTTATTGTGGAGTCATTGCTGGATTGCCACACCACGTGCTTGTCGACGTTTGTTTGGCTGCCGTGCATCAACGCGATAAAGTTCCATCATCATGGGGTGGTGAGGACTTGTGCCTCACTGCATTACGATATTGTAGACTGTTGCAGGCGTGCATCGTCGGCTTCAGGCTATGTTACAGAACTTCACAACAGTATCTTGAGATCACCCAGCATCAGTTGATTCTAGTGCTTTTGCAAACAAGGCACACTGCTACCCTGCCAATCGCCTTTTTTGTATTCAACTTACTCATGAGTATTTAGGAGGTCCGTGCTGAAATCAGCTCGAAGAGTGTCAAAAAGATTCAGCGCCATGTGGTCTACAATATGGAGTTTTCAATTATAAAGTCAAAACACAGCGTAATGGATTTCTACAATCCTTGAGAGAGGTCGCCCACGGCGACCGAAACGTCGGATTACAACCTATTCCACTACGCTGTTTTGACTTAATAGTTAAAAAGCCTTACTATTCATGAGTAGTTTGTACTATTTGCTGATTTCGTCACCACACTGCAGCCCTATCAGCATCTCTTGCTTCCCATTCAGGTCAAACGTGTTCCTCGACCGCCTCCCAAACTCAAGATTGTACGCCAAGTTTCGGATATCAATGATTTCAAGTTTGAGGATTTCCAGCTTTTGGACTATAACCCATATCCGAAGTTGAGGATGAAGATGGCAGTTTAAGTAGACAGAACTTTACGCCAGAGATTCTACCGATATTTTCCTTATTGGCTTTCCTGTTGGTATTAACATTTTCATCGAATTCGAAATATACCACGTGATGCATTTATTTGGGTTCTTACACTCGTTTGACTATACACCTTTAACAATTCATTGGTTGAACCGCTGGATGCGTGCGTATAGTCGACAGACAACACCCAGCTGGAACCGAGCAGAGTTGTGTATTTAGTAGTAAATTGAAGTCATTCAAGCTTCACCATACTGCCGAGTTTCTTTCACTGTGATATCAAACTTCTCCTCTGTAGGGGTGCAAATTAGTTCGTAATGGTTAAGCTGGCAGCACTACAGTAGCCCAAATTATGGTCTGGGTAGGCGTTTCGTAGGATAACAATACTGACGAAACGTACTAGTCTATCGTCAAATAAAATGATGCGTATGGACTTGTCGCTTTGGCATGGTCAGGAGTGAGCTTCCTGGGAGACGAGTAAAATCGTCCATGCACCTCACGGATGCATTTCACGACGTAGCCTCCGCTTAGCAAGTTTTTTTTCGATGCATTCGCGTGACAAAGTTGTTTCAATGAGTTGGGTAGGCAAGGTGGGTGTCCTGCACTACAGCAGCGTCGGTCAAAGTCCCATCTCAAACTGACCATATGGAATCAACTCCCATTGATTGAGTGGGTGAGGTAAACTTGGCTCCGACGGCTCCTCTCTAGCTATTCCCTTGCATTGCACTTCTCCATGCAGACACTCGAGTTGCACCTTCAAGCAAAGGTCGGGTGGCGCTTAGGAGACACAATCCGCAAAAATTTTCGATTTACTTCATCCCGCTCTTCTCTTGCTGCAGCGTCTTCGGTTAGCGACTCTCTTTCGACCACGAAGCCATCTGAAACACTTACTCCTAGGAAACTCGTTTATATCAGACGCTGCAATGTAAATATACTCTTGGGTGTTGAGAGCCAAGCCATTACTATGCTTGCCCTTCAAGACCAATACAACCCGTTTATCTGAAGTCCTCATAGCTGAACGGGGTTCTCGTAGAATACAAGTCCCTGGAAAATAGAGCTTTTTTTCGGTCTATTACAATGCTCCACCTGACAGCCTTTACACCTAATTTTCTGGCTCAAAACTAGGTGTTGGCACTAGAACCGGTCAGCTCTAGAATCGCACTAGCAAGGTTCAAAGTTCACCACTCAACGTCCCTATCATAGCCTTGTGCGGTTTTGAGCAGCACATTAAATACGAGTGCTAAGGCACTTTATGAGCAGCTGTTCACAAAATACCGATATGTGGAACTCACGAGTCAGACCATGCGGTAGTTCATTGTACTGTAATCTTGGAAAGTACAGTCTCAGCCCTGGCTGCTGAAATTTTGATAATATCATTACTGCAGTCGGTCAGGCATCAGCACGCGCTTCCACAGCCGAAGAAGCTCTTTGTCGGTGATCACATCTCACCAGATTCACTAATCCTAGTGGGATTCGCGTCGATTCAGAGGAGCTGAATCTGTGTGAGCAACGCTTGGGCTGTTGGAAAATGCAACACTGAACTTCTCGAATGGTCGGATGAGTGATAATCTCTCTCTGACGCGAAGAATGTCGTGTAGTATTCAATGATATCAATATCCAATGATCGGGATTCAGGATGCTGCTAGTAATCACGAAGATGATAGTTCAGTGGTGACTGGAATGAGTAGTTTTTTTTTTCAAGTTTTCCTTTGGCGTGCAAGCCAAATTGGAGTTCCCCACTAGGACTGAATGAACGTCTGGAAGTGTTGAACTGATTGTGGTAGGCTAGCACCAAGTCTCTTCCTCAGTCACTTTTATCCTATCCTTCACCATAAGGCTTCTGGATAAATTGTGGTTGTACGACAGCGAAGCGTGCGTATTGAACAGTGATTTTGTGCTGTCGATGATGATGATGAGTTTCAGAAGAAATTAGTGCTCCCATACGTGAATTCTCAATTCGGGCATATAGATGATAAAAAACACCAAGATAGCTTAGGGGGCGAGGGGGCTAGAGCGCGAATTTACTGACCGAAAGGTCCGTGGTTTGAACCCGACCTCTACCTATCGACTTCTGTGTAGGCTTGGGCAACCTGGCAGCATCCCAGTTCTCGTGCTTGCTTCTGGTGGCATGGCAGTTAGGCACCGAAAGGGTGTTAC